ATATTGCTTTTTTAGAAAGTTGAAAGATTTTAAAGTTATATGATTTTATTGTAGAGTTATAATTTCCCGCACCATATAACATCATTTTAGCTGAAACTTCTATTCAATTTTAGCGTGATACAAAAAAGGATGTTTATCAATGACGTAGACACATAAATATAGAAGATTACGCATAAAATTTATTAAAACTTTGCTAGTCATGGACCACTTTCCAAATTACTGGGGAATGCCTCCACAAGAGTCTTTTGATCGATACAACATTTTTCAAGACAAAACGAAAAACAATGCCATTTCAGACCCAACAACTAATACAAAGTAATGTCAAATGCTGACTGCCTATATGTATATGTTCTTGTAAAGTTGCCATTGATTCATTTACTTGATCATTATAGGCAGCCAATCGTCACAGGCACATCAGTAATAGCCTTTAAATACAAGGATGGTGTTATGATGGCTGCTGATAACTTGGGTAAATAATAAATAAATAAGAAAAATATGTATAAGGCGGAGAGTCTCGTTACTAATCTTTTCTTTTAGCCTCTTTTGGATCTCTTGCTCGCTATCGGGAGGTCGAACGTTTGTACCCAGTGGGCGAATATACTGTTCTTGCTTCATCCGGAGATTTCTCGGACTTTCAATATGTTAAACATACGCTCGATAAAATAATGTATGCAAAAAAGTTGTTTGATCAATTTTCGAAAGCAATTTTTTAACAATTTAATTTATATATTAGGACTAAAGAGTATTACACAAATGACGGTCATATACTTGGAACACCACACATCTATGAGTATTTGAGCCAAGTTATGTATCATCGCCGATCAAAATTAAATCCTCTTTGGAATGCTTTTGTCGTTGGCGGATATCATAATGGTGAAGGGTAAAAGTTTTTTTTTCTATTTGATATCGGAAATAAAACAACAAATTTTAGTCAAATGTCATTTAAACAATATTCCTCATAGGTACTTGGGATATGTGAATCTTCTAGGAACCACTTTTCAAGCATCAACAATTACAACAGGAATTGGCATGTACATGGCTTCACCGCTATTGCGCAAAGCAGTTGAAGGGCACGAGGATACACTTACTGAAGCCGAGGCTGTTGACCTTGTAGAGCAGGTCATGAGAGTATTATACTATCGAGATTCCCAAAGTATAAACAGGGTAAATACACATTATTAAATAATGTAGTCAGATAATTAAATACTTAACTTTTGCTTTTGAAATTCAAAGTATCAACGTGCAAAAATTACCGCGCAAGGCGTGGAAATATCTCCATTATTATCAGCACCAACTGACTGGAGTATTGGAAAGGACCTTAGAGGTAAGCGGCCAAATTTGGATTTTTAATTTATTATTACTATTCTCAATCTAATGATATTACTTTACTTTCTTTTTTAGGTTATCAATAATAGTTTTAGTTTAATAACAAATGTCATATTTAAGATAGATTCTTTGTTTAAGTTTAATAAATTGAACATTTGAATTTTCAATTGCAACGAGTGCACCCCATATTATATATTATATAGTATATTATTACACTTAATGGATATAATATTTCACAAACAACTATACATTTCAACCATATTCCACAGAATTTGGATTTAGATTGATTTTCTCTGCCACATTCAAGATGTCTTCAAATTGTCTGAAAAGATTCTCGGAAATCCCATTTTCATCAAAGATAGTCGTGATATTGTTAGGGTCGATCGATTCACCACGTTCCTTTATGATGTCGTTAACATGTCCTTTGACTTTATCAAAAAAATGGAATTTCAAATGTTGCAGATTATGATAAATTTTCGCGCGAATTTGACAAAATTTTCCCAAATAAAATTTCTGAATGCCCCGACGTGATTTTTGACTGCCATAGTCATCAGATAATAAATCCGAATCATCAAGAGGCTACATATAAATTCAATATAATTGTTTTAATGTATATAATATAATATATAATATATAATATAATTAATATAATATAATACCTGGAGTGTTTTTTTGTCGTAGGGTAATCCTTTTAGCGTAACTTTGTAATGCGCTGATCTAGTGCTGTTACAAGCATCACAATAAGCTTGGAACGTGTATGAGACAGCATAACTTGGATAAAAAGCTAGACATTTCTGTAAATAAATAATTAAGTTAACAATTATTTAACGTAGTAAAGCGAAATTTTTTATATTAAAACAGACCTTGAATCTCGTGTTCCATACAGAACTTGCAACAATAATCTCGTAATAGCCTTGAATTTTGCGATCAATCATCTTCATTGATGTTCGAAAATATTCGGCTATTTTTGTATTATTATTTGAAATGGAATTAAAATCATTATATGTTTATTACCTGAATGGACAAACCAACTACAGAATTAATCATATACTCAAAAAATCTGATATATTCTCTTCCATACTTACTCTCCTCCACATCACTATAATTCATAACAGTCGCAAGGTAAGTTAAATATTGAATAAAGACCTTAAAATGATATTTGAGACTTTGGGAGCCAGAAGATGTCAATCTCTCTATATTATAAGAAAATTAGGAACTATTCTGCTTAACACTCCCATCATCAAATCAAATTTTTATATTTCCTCACCTGGTAAATCAAATTCACTAACATTTATTGTGTCTCCTCCTGTCACAATAAAATCATTTAATTCATTATCTGATTCGTCGTAATTTTGTTCGAAATCTGTTTCTTCTTCGTCAACATCATCACTATTTTCCTCGTCATTATTGTCCTCGAGTTCAATTATTTTATTCTTTGGCCGTTGTCTTCGTGCTATTAATAAATTTATTTGGCTTAATTAACTAAAGCACAAATTGTACAGATGAAAATTTCCATTATTGATTCACCCAAAAGTTGTTGCAAGTTCTCTTGATATCGTGAACTTCTTTTTTCTCGAGTTCGTCGGTTTAAAATGGCTAATGAATAAATAAATTTTAAGCTAAAATAATTATATTTATCATACAATATATATACTAATACGTTGTTGATAATACCTGACTTGTCAAGATCAAATTCTTCGTTTTCATAATTATTACTAGATGATGATATTATATTATTATGCTCAACCTCTCGAGATTCTTCTTCTTTCTGCTGCTCTTCGTCAGATTCACCTTGAGATTTTTCTTTTTCCTGCAGCTCTTCGTCAGATTCATCTCGAGATTTCTCTTCTTTCTGCTCTTCGTCAGATTCATTTTGCGATAAAAGTTCATCTGAATCTAGATTTATATTTATCGCATCTTCGACATTTTTTTCTTCTTTCTTATTGACTGGCTTGAAAGACAATTTTGATTGTCTTTTATTTTCTAGAAATACGAAGAGTCAGAAAATCGATAATTTTATATTTGATATAAAAAAAATCATTATTACCCATTAATTCTCTTAGATTCTCATTGAATTTAATTCGGCCTTTAGATATTCGTGTACTCTTACGCGTGGCTGTTTATGTCACATGTCAATTAATCAAAGCAGAATAAAACTTGAAGCTAAACAAATAATTAATTCACACCTTTAGGAGAAAGTACAGTTTGTCTGAAGTTTTCTCTCTGTTCATAGTCATACTTAACACGCTTTCTGGTTTGTGTATTATCTTATTTTTAAGGTAAAAAGTAGTGTAAGGCATGAAAATGGTAGCTTTAAAGAGGTATAACAGTACCATTTGCTAAGGTGGAAGAAGATTCTTCGTTTTCGGTGTCAGAAATAATAATTCGCTTAGAAGCGCGTTTAGATTTATATAAAGAAGTATCTTCGTCTGAAGAAAGTTTAGCAGGATCTGAAACTGACGTAAGAGTGCTGGGCAAAGTTTTTGGAGAGGGGTCAAGAACCTCTATGGGTTTTGAATTTTCTTGATTTTGAGATGGAGAAATTGTTTCTTCTTCTTCGTCCTCGGAAATTATAATTCTCTTTGAAACGCGTATCATTTTATGAAAGATGTATTGTGAATTGGAACATGTGAAATATAAAACATAATTTGGGCCAAATAATATATCTGAATTTGAGTGATTGTCGTATCAAGACATTACTCTGTCTCTCATAGCGATAGTATTTATGATGCATAAAATATAAAATGTATAAACTTCTTTACTAAATACAAAATTTAATCCGTAAATATGCTCAGAAAAGGCCTATTCTATCATATTCACGGATTAAATTTTGTATCTACTTCTTAGTATAGAAGTTTATACATTTTATAAAATACAAACGTTTGATGACTTTAGATTTATGCACCACAGTAATTTTGGAAATACTAATAATTCTAATAATTTCAGATCTTTACATTTCACACATACTCTTAATAAAAAATAGGTGTTTTAGTTGAAAACCTTCATTATGGATTATATTCAATATTAACAAAGAAAATTTCTATTTGAGTTGATCAAAAAACTAGTTATTCTTAATAGACATGAATTTTTTATCTCTTAAACCATCAGGTTTAGTGGGCAAATTTGTCTGCTAAAATTCTATAAATTTATATCTAATATATTTTTACCAAAAATTAAAATATGTTAAAAAAGATTCTTAAAGTTTAAAAATATTTTATAATAAAATTACAGAATTAATTAAAAAATTAATCAAATATTTGAAATTTTATATTGATTAAAAATATACTATATTTTTATTTTAGCTTAGAAAAAGGAGGGATTAAACTTATAAAAATTAGGAATAAATATACAAAAATAAGCTAAAAAAATTTTAGCAGGCAAATTTGCTCATTGAATGATTTAAGAGATAATAATAGTTATTAATTATTCTGAAAATTCTTTTTTATCAGGTTTTTATTGTGAAAGTAAAACTTTGTTTTTAGAGGAGCATCATTTATTAGATGATTTTCATTAATTAGAGAGATATTTTATTTAATTATATTTGATAATTGATAAACATTTTTCATTCTTTTTAGTTCTTAAATTAGAATTTATAACAAATTACAAAATATAAAAATCATATAAAATTTAGAATATTTCTTTAATTATTAGTATAATTACTATTTATAGTTTATTATAATATATATATATATTACAAATTTTTATTATAATTTGTTTTTTGTCATAATCTTTACAAATAATAAATTATATATAAAATTATATATATATATATAAATTATATATAATCAAATTTTTTTATAATTATCATCTTTAAGAAAGCAAATTTTGGTAACTATAAAGAAAAAGTAACTATAAAAATATTTTTTACTATATTTATATATAATTAAAAAAGCAAAATATAATAATTATAGAAGAATATAACTATAAATAAATATAATTATAAAATATTTAATTATATATAAATAAATAATAAAAGTTTTTTTTAATTATATAATTAACTTTAAAATTTTTATATTATAAAAAATATTAATTATAAAAAGAAATAATTTTTTCTATTTATATTTGAGATTATTACTAATTATAAAATTAGTTAATTAATATAAACAAAAGTTAAAAGAAAAATTAAACAAAAAAAATAAGAAAAATATATTTAAATTCTATATTAATTTTTATTGGAATTATATAATTTAAAGAAAAATAAATATATTAAAAAGAAAAGAAAATAAATAAACTTTTTAATTTTTTATATTAGTATTATATTTTAGAGCTAAATAAATATAATTATCAAAAATAACAAAGATTTTTTACTTTGTTTTTCTTACAAATGAAATTATAATATTTTTAAATAAAAAATTACAAATAAATCAAATATAATAAATATCAATTTAATAATTTAATAATATTTTGATTAGCTTAATATTTGTATATTAGTTTTAAAATATATAGTTAAAACAATAAAATATTTAAGTGTTAAAAAATATTTGTTTATTATATTATTTATTTTTAAGTTTTAATATATTAAATTAAACTTAGTTATTATTTATATTTATATATTTTTTACAAATATTAATATAATATTTCAAAAACAAGAAAAAATATAAAAGATAAATATATTAACTGAAAATATAATTTTAATTTTACTAAATATTATTATAATATGAATATTTAATTCTTATTTTATTGATTAATTCATATTATAAATTTAATTGAATAATATTTTATTATATTTTATTGGTTAATTTTATATTTATATTTTATTAAATATTAATTATATGAAATATTATTTGTAGATATTTTTAGATGATTAAACAAGTAATATAATTATAATTAAATCAAGAATATAATTATAACTAAACTAACAATATAATTATAACAAAAATAATAATATAATACTAGTAAAACAAGCAATTAAATTACAATAAAAGTAGCAATAGTATTATAACTAAAATAATATTTGTAAAATTATCAAAATATATATAAGTAATATATCTTAGCTAGTAATTTAAATAGATTTCATAATTTTCAGGATTTCAAAAATAATAAATAACAATTAAAAACATATACAGTGACTAACGTAATTATGGAATCACGTGTTCAAATTTATTAATAAAACATAGTAAAAATTGAAATTTTCT